AGAAGAAATAAACCACTTCTGTGCCTGCCCATGCCATTCACCTCCCCAGAGGCGATTCACTTTGGCCTTAATAGCTGGAGGAAAATCATATGTCAACCAGTTAGGAACCTGCCAAACAATGGGGTTAATTAGATGTATGACAGCATTAGAGAAAAGAAAGAAGGCTGGGATCAGGGAGAATGAAGGCCATTTATGCCAAAACCTACTTATGCTTGCATATCTTATATTATTAAATGGATTGTCTCCTTTCCTGGACTTTCATCAAGGTTATTCTATGCAGCACAGCTCTTTGTTTCATACATTTGAAACACAGGACATGAAGAGTAGAAATGTGAAGTGGTAGTCTTTCTTTTCCTGACCTCATATTTTCTTTGTTTTATTTTCAGTGTTCTCCCAAAGATTGAATTTGATGATATAATCAATTTAGGAATAGTTGGATATCTTCATGAGCAATAAATCAACCACATGATCCATTAAATGCGTGTATCACATGACTCAGGGGAGTTTGATAAATTTGAAAGAATCACAAACACTAAATGTAAATAGCAGTAAAATGCCAGCGCCCCTACCAAAGTGGTAGTTGCAATTCTTGAAAAAAATATGAGACAACTGTAGAAAAAGGGCATAAATTCTTCTACAAACCTCAGCAATAATCTCAGATGATACTACACCAGTTTCTTCTTGCAATTCCCTAATGGCTGCAGACTTAGGCTCTTCCCCATCCTCAATACCACCCTGATTGTTAGGCAACCCAAAAAATAAAAGACTATAGAAATACACAACAAAGACCAGTAATGAGACCCTTTTCGACCCTAGATGCTAAATAAAATTATTCATTTTCCAAAAATCAATCCTCTAGAACATTCAAAATATAAAAAAATTGTCCCCAGAAACTCTAAAAAACAACAATTAATCCATTCCAATAAATAATTTCCTGAAAATAAACACATAGAAGCATGAATAGACAGATCAAACCCATATTCACCATATTCGTATTGCATAGTAAATTGCCAGAAAGTGAAACCAAACCAAACCAAACGCAGAGCTTTCCAAAAAATATTTTAGCTTTTCCAAAAGCTGATTTCAGCATCTAAGAAGTTTTAAGAAAAAAAATCTAGGAAAAGCTTTTCATGCAAAATTTCCTAAATTTGATAAATATTATCAATTTTTAATTTTTTTAATAAAAAAATCATCATTATATCATATATAAAAATTCCACTTCTGCAAACACACTCTCATGTATAAATATAGGTATAATCTTCAATGTCTCTGTTGAAAACATGGAAAACAGAGGATGAAAGCGGAAGCGGAGGTATTACCTGAGGCATCTGCCATGCTCCAGGAACATTCAACTTGGAAGCCACAAAAACCTGTAAATAAATAAAAGATTAGATCTTCTAATACTAACTAATTCACAGAAAATTGAGAGAAACATTCAGAATTTAACCTCAATCAAAAAGCAAAAACAATAATCTTATTATTATAAAAAAAAAATGAGAAAAAATAATCATTCCAGACATCGTGGAGAGAGAAAGAAAGTACCTGATTATCGGAGTTGATAAGACAGACACCAACGTGGGGGCGATAACCAGAGGGGAGACCCTCCATTGCTAAGTAGATACGGACCTTGTTGTTAATGCTTCGCTCAGGGTTAGGTGGAGAGAGTAGATGCTGCTGTGCTGGTGCTTTTGCGATCACTGTCAGAAAACTAAACAAGGGAACTCGAGAAAAAGAAAAAGTCGAACTTATTGTTTTGTTATTGGAAGAAGTGCGCTGACCTTTGCTCGAGTTGAAGAAAGAGATGGTAACGATATTGTAAAATTAAAAATAGGCCTTAATTTAATAAAGGGATTTTTTAATTTTTTGCGTGAAGATAAAGGTTAAATTTTATTTATTATAATATTTATAATTAATTTTACATAAATTTTTA